ACTGATTTGGGCATGGCTGAGGTCTGCCCATTTCAGTTTAAGTCCATCTTGCATGATCCTTGCATATTGTTGCATGCTTGTTCCATTTCGTCGTTATTGCATACTTGGTACATTGCATTTTTGCATGCTTCGTACATTGTACATTTGCATGTTTAGGTTGCATAGTATTGTGCATACTTGTTGCATGCCATGTTGTTTACATGTTAGGTTGCGTTGTATTGCCTTTGGCAGCTCATCTTGCATTGTATCGCATTTCATGATTGCATTGTATTTGGCATACTTGCATTGCATTATGTTTGGTTTGGGGTGTAAATCAAACATGAGGACCGAGGGACGTTCGTACTTGAAGTGACGAAATGTGCCTCGATCCTCGGTCGCCGACACTCTTGATCCAACGTGATAGAGCTCTAGCATTCATGTGTTTTTGTGCATTCATTTCATATTGAATCGCGCACTTGGCTCATTTGGCCATCATGCATCGACATGCGTGATTGATGGCTCAAGGGTCGAGTACTACACTCCCTTGAGCTCATGACATAATAGGGAGGTGTTTGTACACACATTGCCTTGAAAATGCATTGCCATGCTCTGTTTGTTCTCTGCTGCAGCAAAACAGCATTCTGCAGGAAGATATGGCCGGCCGACCATCTTCAGTGCCGATCGACTAAAAATTATTGGCCGAGATCCTCACAAATGGTCGGTGACCAATTCCACATGGGCGGTGTTTCTTATGTTTTGGCCGGTGACATCTCACAGTGCTCAGGGAGTGATTCAGAAGCATCCTTGGGACTATTGCAGTTTTCAGAGGTGCAGAACAGTGCAAACAGAGGCAACATGTGGCATGACAACGGGTTCCGAGCGAGGCGACCGGGCATGCATTCATCCCTCTTCCGAGACCGCTTCCTATTCTTCATAGCTTAATTAATTTGTTTAATTAGTTAAGAGTTATGTAATAATTAATTAGCTAGGGTAGTTAATTAATTAGTTGATTTGTATTATTTATTCGGACCATCCGTCGAGAGGGCGAATTTTGTAATAAGTGTGCGTGAGTGTGTGAATGTCTTCTAACCCCACGTCTTTCTTCCTTTTACTTAACCGCTTACGATGGTTAGTTCTAGGTCATGTTTGTTATTAGCATACTTATGATAGCATGTTTGCATTCATTCATCTGTATTGCATGCACCGAGCTCGGCGCATCATACTAACTGCATTATATTTTCAATACTAACTTGAATACATGATTATCAGTTGCATTTCATATGCCATTTTAGAATAGCCGAGCCTATTTCTAGTTGCATTTTGCATGTGTTGTATTAGCCATCTTAACATAAACTAGGATCATGCATGATTACTAACTAGCTATTGTTTTGGCTTGGAGTACTAGGTAAGCTTTTATGCTTTCGCATCTTGCATGCGTGTAAGTGTTGCCATGTTTAGCATGCTCGCCATGAGGCTATGTACTTAAATGATATAACTGCCTAAATGCTTGTGGGTGAAGGCTGGATTACTTGAATTGGAACAATTCATCGAAATGCGCGTTTTGAAGCCCACTTGAGGGTGGCAAAATCATGTTTTTCTAAGCCCACTTGAGGGTGGCAAATCCAGTCTTAGCCTACTTGCAAGTAGCACCTTCAAACCATTTTCAAACAACATAAGATGTTTTGTTCCAACTTGGGCGATCTAGTCTATACTTCTGTGTTGTGCGCATCACATAGTAATTATAGGCTAATAACTGGAATAAGAACACATGTGTTTTTAAAAATGAAATATCATGCTTAGTAAAGGCCGATCTTCGATCGGGCGAGCGGGGGTGCTCATTGCATGACCTTCCCTCTCGTACCCAAGTTCCCAGGCCGAGGCAACTTTGGTGATGACGGACACGTGGCCTTAGGCACGAGTCATGGTTTCCTAAATTCCTCAAAATAAAATATTTAGGTAGCGACTCTATATCTGGCAAAGCAGTCCATGTTGACACTTTTTTATAAAAATCAATTTTCCAAAACGATTTGCCAGATTTGGACTCTTTGGTGATTTATAAATCTCACATTGCACATTGTGAGATCAGATTAAGAACCGTGACATTTGAGTCCGAACTGTAGCACAGCATAAAGCCCCTCGGGGCGCGTCTACACCAATGTACGAAATGATTTATCAAAAGATTCTTATACTATGTATGGTTTGATTTTTAGAAATTTGTTTTAGAAATTTTTTAAAAAAATTAAAAATTAATTTGGTTAAGAAATAGAAAGTAAAAAAATAACTATTGTTTTTATATAATTTTATCTTTCGAGTTGTTAGAAATAATTTTTTACAAATTAAATATATTTCTTCATATTTATTTTTATTAGATTAGTTTTTATTTTAAAAAAAAAGTTTGAATTTTTTTTTAAATAACAAACCAAAGGGACTTTAGGTTAAATCAGGTTGTTTCGTTGTGTTCAACAAAAATAAAAAAATAAAAGAAAAAAAAAAGTTGTTTGGTGCTTTGGTACATGTTAAATCACGTTGTCTAGTTGTGTTTAAAAATAATAAACAAATAAATAAATAAAGGGATTGTTGGCACTTTGAAAGGTCCTACGGGTAAATAAGTCCATCAACATATATTTGGTTATGTTAGTATACTTCTGTAATGGTTTAGTTCGCAGCCGACGGGTCAAATTATTATGTAAATATAAATTTTAGGCACATGATGTAATTTTCGAAACCTCGGAGTATTTGTAATTTAGCCAAACCTTAAGGGGCATATGTAATTTGCCCTTCTATTAATAAATCATTAAGTCAATTAACGGTTTTTAATGTTTCAATTAATAATTTAGGTAATTTTATTATTGTATAAGAGAGCAATAATGAATTTTATTTTTTTAATTAATTATGTTAAATGAAAGATTTAGTAAGGAAGTATTTGTAATTTTTCAAACCACAGGAGCTAATCTATAATTTATGCAAATCTCAGAAGGTTGATGATTATTATTAACTGTTCCTCTGTAATTTTTACTAATCACGTTTTTTCCAATTAAATTTTTTTCAAATATTTTTTTTTAATTATTTTTTTTCACTTATAATATGTGTGATCTCATTGTCATAAATAATAAATATAAATATAATATTTTAGGCTTGAACAAACATATTTTTTAATTTATGTTTTAAATTTTTTAAACATTTTATTCAAACTAAACACGTTTGTAATTTATGTTTTTTTTTTTAAAATAAACAGAAATCAGTTTATAAAATTTTTGTAAATATAACCAAAAACGTAAATGTTACCAAAACGCTACCTTAGTATTTAGGGATAATTTTTTTTTATTTTTTTTAAATTATTTTTATATAAAATAATAAAACAAATAAAAAAATATAAAAAATTAAAAATTATATTTTAAAAAAAATTTCCAATATATAAAAAATAAAAAATAAATAAAAAAATTTCTAATCCCCTCACTATTTTTCTAATACCATCTCTACCTCCTCACTATGAATCCCATCCCCAAGGGTATTAGTAATACCAAGGTATTAGTAGTACCCTCCCTATCTCTCAAAACAAACAAGGTATTAGTAATACCAAGGTATTAGTTAGTCCCGAGGTATTAATAGTCCCAAGGCTATCTCTCAAAACAAACATCCCATATACTAATCCCAAGATACTAGTAATCCTAATCCCCTTGCTATAACCCCAAACAAACGGGACCTTAAGATCTAGTGATATCTTACCCAATATTAAGGATTAAAATTAAACTAATTAAAATACTAAAAATTAAAATGACACAAGTAACAAACTCTATGGACTACCACGATAATCTGCCCATTATTTTTTTAAAATTCTACTTATTTGATATTTTTTCCCTTTTTTATTTTACTGTACCACGGTTCAACCTCAAACCGAACCGGCTTAGAAGGATCGGCCGGTTTATGTACCCATATACGCACGCTACAAATTTTAGTCGTCCTCTTTCTCATCGCTGTTGCTGAGTGAAGTGAGGGTTTCACTTTCTCCGGCGAATTTTTCCGGTTCCGGCAGCCGCCCATGCCAGTTCCTCTCCCTTCTCCTCATTATTTTCACACAAAAAACAAGTTCAGGTAATGGGTCATCTTGTGTGATGAGATTGCCTCCAACATACCCCTATTCTTCTCTAATCTTGAACTTTGAAGGTTAGCAATTGAGTTTAAAAAGTAGTGATGTGTTTCATATTTGATTATTATTATTGAAAGTTTGAAACTTGTTATAGCAAATATAGGAGACAAATGAAATTCCTATTTATTTATGTTCTTGTTCATTATTTGTTTTTAATTTATATGATTTGAGGCTTCTGAGTGTTTGAGGATTCATACTTTGTCTTGTGTTTGAGTTTTGAATGTTTTAAATTTAACTCTAATTGCTTTATGTTTGTGACTTGGGCTTGCGATTTATTTTATTATAACTTAGGATTTTGGATTTTACTTGTGCTCTTTTATTTAAAAGATATGCATTATGAATTGTTTGTAGGAGAATGCTTTCATTACCATGATTATAGTTCTAACTTCTAAATTCGATATTTGGTTAGATCGTGAGATGGCTTTTGCTTGTGAAAGTATAATACTTTTAAGTATTGTGCAATGATTTTAAGATAATGTCTACCAAGAACCACCATTGTCTATTTATCGTTTTATTTATTTATTTATTTTTAATGTAAAAAATAGAGAAAAATATTAGAAGAAATATTTAAGTAAACTTTTAGATTTTTGGTTTTGTGTGTGTGTAAGTTTAATAGCTATATTTTCTATTTATTTATAATTTTAATATATTTATGATGTAATTGTGATGTCACGGTTTGATTCCTATTAACTCGACGGTTGAATCAGTGATTTGATCTCTTTTCCAGTTTGCTTAATGGTTTGGGTTTCAAAATATTTTCTTCAAGGGTCCATGTTTTGCTCTTTTGCTTTTCTTTAGTGTAATTTTCCCATTTTTGTTGGTTACAGGTGATTTAAACCGAGTGAGTTGTCACTTGAATGGATATGGGTGATGGAGGATGTGGGTAGAAAACCACTTGGGTGATCTTTAGGCTCTTGCCCACTCAAACCAGAACCAAGAAAAGGGTGGTTGATGGAAGAAGAGGAACAACAAGAAGAACAATGCGCCACGGACGAGGAAGAACAGCAGCCCTCTACTCTTCTGCTCTTCTTGCCCTCGCTAGAAACAAAACCACTACCACCACCACTACTACTTTCGAACTTGGGAATCTCCTCCTGGTTTCTGCTGTTGTTGAAGCTCTCTCCAAAAATGGAGGAAGTCGAAACCTGGATGAGGACTCCATTCCCATCTGTGAGTCTCTTGTCCTGCAAGTCCTCGGAAGGAGTTCTCTTGATGTATCCAAGAAGGTGGATTTCTTCAGGTGGTGTTCTCTCAGGCCCAACTACAAGCACTCTGCAAAAGCCTACACCCAAATTTTCCGTGCTATTTGCTGCCGCCATCACGACCACGAGATCATTGATCTACTGAATTCCATGAAGCGAGATGGTGTTGTCCTTGATTCTGGGACCTTTAAGCTGCTTCTTGATGCGTTCATCCAGATGGGCAAATTTGATTTTGCCCTTGAAATCTTGGACCACATGGAGGAAGAATTGGGGAGAAGTAGCAGTTGCTTGAATTTTGACGTTTATAACTCCGTGCTGGTTGCACTTGTTCGTAAAGAGCAGATGGGTCTGGCCTTGTCTATCTTCTTTAAGCTCTTAGAAGCCTCAAATGGCAATGACGATGGGTCTTGTGCAATTCCTGATGCTATTGTTTGTAATGAATTGTTTGTTGCACTCAGGAAGGCAGACATGAGGGATGAGTTTGCTAGGGTTTTCGACAAACTGAGAGAGAAGAAACAGTTTGCACTGGACTTATGGGGCTACAATATATGTATTCATGCATTTGGGTGTTGGGGTGATCTGGGTATGTCCCTGAGCCTCTTCAGAGAGATGAAGGAAAGGAGTCAGGGCTCTGATGGTTCATTTGGTCCAGATTTGTGCACATACAACAGCCTGATTCACATTCTGTGCTTGGCCGGGAAGGTTAAGGATGCTCTCATTGTTTGGGAGGAATTGAAGGATTCTGGTCACGAACCCGATGCCTCCACCTACCGAATCATTATACAAGGCTGTTGTAAATCCTATCGGATAGACGATGCGATAAAAATATTTAGTGAGATGCAGTACAATGGGTTTTGTCCCAATAATGTTGTTTATAACTCCCTCTTAGATGGGTTGCTCAAGGCTAGGAGACTTACAGAAGCATGCCAACTGTTCGAGAAAATGGTTGAGGATGGTGTGAGGGCCTCCTGTTGGACATACAATATACTGATTGATGGATTGTTCAAAAATGGAAGAGCTGTAGCCGGATACACACTGTTTTGTGATTTGAAGAAGAAAGGACCGTTTGTGGATGGGATTACGTATAGCATTGTCATTTTGTGCCTTTGTAGGGAGGGCCAGATTGAGGATGCCTTGCAGTTAGTGGAGGAGATGGAAGGCAGAGGCTTTGTTGTTGATCTAGTTACCATGACATCACTCTTGATTGGGCTTCATAGGCAAGGCCGTGGGGAGTGGACAGAGAGGCTCATGAAACACATCAGGGATGGCAATCTGGTACCAACCGTGCTCAAGTGGAAAGCCAATATGGAAGCTTATGTTAAAAGTCCACAGAGCAGAAATAAGGATTTCACACCTATGTTCCCATCTAAAGGTGACTTCAGCGACATCATGAATTTGATAAGTTCACATGACATGGGGATTGATATTGGCCCTGATTTAAAGGCTGATGGGCACCAAGATGAGGAGTTCCCTTCCAGTGACACTGATCCGTGGTCGTCATCCCCATATATGGATCGGTTGGCCAATCAAGTGAACTCCAATGACCATTCTATTCAAACGTTCTCGCTGTCTAGGGGAAGACGAGTTCAAGTGAAATGTGTAGACTCTTTTGATATTGATATGGTCAATACCTACTTGTCAATATTTTTGGCCAAGGGAAAGCTCAGTTTAGCCTGCAAGTTGTTTGAGATTTTCACCAACATGGGTGTCAACCCTGTGAGTTACACCTACAATTCCATGATGAGTTCATTTGTGAAAAGGGGCTATTTCAATGAGGCTTGGGGTGTTCTTCATGAAATGGGTGAGAATGTATGCCCAGCGGACATTGCGACGTATAATGTGATTATTCAAGGCCTGGGGAAGATGGGAAAGGCAGATCTAGCCAGTGCTGTTCTTGATAAACTAGTGAAGCAGGGCGGTTATCTTGACATTGTGATGTATAATACCCTGATTAATGCACTTGGTAAAGCTGGTCGGATTGATGAAGCAAGCAAGCTTTTTGAGCAGATGAGGACTAGTGGGATAAATCCTGATGTTGTCACTTATAATACACTCATTGAAGTTCATAGTAAGGCTGGTCGATTAAAGGATGCATACAAGTTCTTAAAGATGATGTTGGATGCTGGCTGTCCTCCAAACCATGTGACTGACACAACCCTGGACTTTCTAGAGAAGGAGATTGAAAAACTGAGATACCAAAAGGCATCAATAAAACGGATAAATAAGGACGATTCTTCTTGAAAAACAACTCATTGGAGAAAGTTGGTCAGAAGTAACCGAAACTTCCTTTGACCTTTGAGACATTAAATTACCTAAAATTTGAGATCTTTAGTCTTGAATGCTATTGAATCAGCATCTTATTTACCAAGCCACTGGCAGTTAGATGGGTGCTATTTTGCAGATTCTTGATATTTGGTGCAATTATAGCAGAAATATGATCAGAAGTGCCATCCAAGGGGGTTTCTGTTAAATCAATTGATTTGGGGCAATCACATGGTTAGGTGGAGAAGTGATATGTCAATCTGCGGAAAGCTTATATATATATTAGAAACTTGAACAAAAGGGTTTTCCTTAACATTGGAGTCCATGGAACAACTTGATATTGGAGGTAAGCTCTTCTCACTCCTCAATTTTGTGTATATGTAAACATGCCAGTCCATGTTTTGTAGTATCTACTCTACATCCAGTAATCATCAAATTGATGCTTTGAATTGATGCAAAATTGGGTTTATCAATTTTATTTTTGCTAAGATAGAGAGTTGATGTATTTTTTTGCTAAAAAGAATTTCTCAATGAAAAGCCAAAGTAATTTCTTTTGCACTATCAGATTAAGCTGAATATCAACGGCTTTATGTTGGCATGACATCAAGCTTTAACAAGGAATCAAGCCAAATGCAATAAAAAATTGTCAATTAGTGTTATTATGGAATCCACTCACATTTATGTATGTATCAAAAGCCAATACTTGATGGCATCCAGTTTAGTTTATATATTTCAATTATTGAGGTCTTGAGTTTGACTTTGGGTGGTATAAGAGACAATGAGATACATTTTTCACTTTTTATTTTTCATTTAAATAAATAAAAAAAAACTTTAGCTTATCTTTATGTAGGCTTCCATAACCTTATCAATTGGATTCTCCAATATGACCATTCTGTAGCTGCCAGTCCCAACCGAAGCCACAATTTGATTTATTTAATTTTAACATCCAATATTGAAAAAGAGAATGAGAAAAATCCAAAACTGAAAATAGCTTTTATACAATGTAGTGGAAAAATGAAATTTGAGGACCAGTAGGTATAGAACTGACCAAATGAATCAAGAAAATGAAATAAATAAGAGACAACAAATGCTTATTCTTGCATCTTGTCTTCAATACCTACGCCTTTATTGCCTGTTGTTCTCCATATCTCCTAATTTTCTGAGTTTTCTGCGATGGAAAACAAGAAAGAAAGAAATATTCAACATCATATGTACACATATTTTTTTTAGAGAAATCTAGAGCCAACTCAAAAAAGATTAGAACCCATAATTAAACTAAATTAATCGATTCTCTTGTGACCAAACCAAAAAAAACCAAGTAACCAAACCAAATTAAGCTAAAGTAAGTTGAGTTGGTTTAGTTCTTAGATTAACCCAACCCAGAAACAGAAAGGCGGAGTTTAGTTAAGGATGTGAACTAATTGCAGAGTACTAACCTCGATGCATGATGCATCAAGTTTTGACAGTAGTGACATACTTGATGAGCATCCCAACAACTTCTGGTGATACCCTTGATGACGTCTCCTTCAAATTTTTAATCTTCTTGTCTGTTTCCACTTCAAGCTGTTTTGCAGTTGATCCAGAGCTCCCACTTGTCTACACACACACACACATGCACACACACACACACATGTACATCACACCAAAATGACAATAACAATAATGAATTTTTTCAGCTCTAATAAATGATTAAATAAATAAAAAGAGAATTTGGAGAACATAGAAAGATGTCAATGAAGATCCTAGCTAGGATTGATTATGTTCTATGGTTGCTATATATTAAGAAGATGGTAAGATGATGATGATGATGATGTTTTGACAGATATTACCGTGGAAATTTTATTTTGATATTCTGTATCCATATATGAACGATAATTTGCTACTTCTCTCTCAGCCTCATCTTTAGCCTGCTTCAACCTTGTCATTTTCACTGAAGAGCAGACAATTACAGTGATGGATACAAAGTGTTAAAGAAAAAAAAACACACGCACACACACAAACAAAAAGAAAAAAGAAAAAAAGAAAAAAAAAAACAGTAGAAAGAAAGAAAGAAAGAACAAGGAGGAAAGCAAGTTTTGAATACAATCAACTGAACAAAAAAAATTGTTTTAAATGAACTTCTAAATTTTCCCATTTGATGGGATTTAAGGCTTGGCTTGGTTTGGTTTGGTTTGGTTTATATACTTCTAGATTTAAAATGAATGACTAGAGTTCATATGTAACTTCTGTATATAGATATGGGTTAGATTTTACAGTTTCTAGCAGCAGTTACAATTTGCTGGGCTTCCTGTTCTGCAGTTAGAAGCATCTGAATGCCTCCTTGTCCTTTCATGGAATCCATTGTAAAATTTGCAACCTAAATAAAAAAAAAAACCCTATAAGATCAATATATATGCTTGCATATGATCTGTAACATTTATGTTGTACAATTACAAGACAATAGGTTGGTTAATCATGTACAAAAGCAATAAATTTAGAAATTAAAATTAGAAAAACTGCACTAGAAAAAAGAAAAAGAAAAAAAAAAAGACTGATTTAATGAGTGACTTGTAGTTTCACAGTACTTAGTTTGTACTTACAAATGCATGGTTTAATTTTTGAGACAAGCATACGACAATTGACATGATCAACCAGGTATTGTATGTAACGTTGACTTATTTCAAATGGCTAAAACAAGTCTTCCATAGGAATAGGGACCTAGAATTGTCATGGAAAGCGCAAAAGAGAACACTCTACAGAAGACAGCTACACTAATCCATGTCCTTTTTGATCTCCTCAGCGGTAAACTCTTCTTACTCCATAACCTAATTGTTCTTGTTTTCTTAATTTCGGATTTGTGTTTTCTGATTTCTTTTGCAGGGGTTGTTATTGTTGCTGGTTTGTCAAGCTTTATGGTTCAGTTTCTTCTAGTCACTGGAAATTGATGGTGCTATGTGGGTCTTATCTACAAGGTGGATATCCTGGCCAGATGTCTTTGATGCATCTAATTTATTGTGAAGTCCAGGCTAACGTTTGTCTGTGGTTTGTGTTGGATGGTGTCTTAGCTTCTGTTATGTTTGTGCCTTTCATTGTTCACGTTGTTTTTGTTAGTTCTGCTTTAGGTTGATGATGTTTTTTAGTATTGCTTTAGGTTGATGATGTGTTTGTTAGTGTTTCTGTTGTTAGGTTTGTTACCTTCTTGTACTTGGGATGTACTCTTCGCTCTTGTATTTCCATGTTTATTGAAATGAAATATGATGTTATTTTTCTTGCCAAAAAAAGATTCCTGATCCATAATATTTCACTGAAAGGAATTGCACTGCATTACTCACTATTTACTTAATTTGTGGTTTTAATTTTAATTTTATTTTTTTTTATTTTATTTTTTTTGTAGGGCATACTCACTATTAATTAAGGGTTGAGAACTAAGAACACGATTCAAAGGGAAAAATATTATTCACATATAAAATTAAAAAATGACAGAAAAGGGCAAAAAATAAAAGGAAAATCCCCCTCTATATGCCTTTTTAAACATTATTTCTCATGAGAAAAAAAAAAGGTATATAGAGGGGAATTTATTTATTTTTTAATTTAAATTTTGGCATTTTCATGTCATTTTTGAATTTTAAAATTAAAAAAATGTCTCATACTAAACCAGGATTCATATCCTCATTGGATATGATAGCTGCAGATAAATTTCATCTTCTACAGAAAATTTTAATGAACTTAATTCATGAAAAAACATATTAGGGCTGAATTCAGATCATATATGCAATTTCATTACAAATCAATTGAAGAAAATAGATTGTAGCAAAACCAAAATAATAAATCCTGCAAATATAAATTCTTCAAATAAAATAAAATAGAGAAACAAAGCAAACAGCTGATAAAAAATGAATGTACTGATGTAATTAATGTTACTAATACCTGTGTTTTTTTTTTTTTTTTTTTTTTGAGGAAGATGTTATTAATACCTGTGTAAGATGGATTGCTAGGGAGCTGTTTTTTGGAAGAACCTATTGAGAGGTTTCTGCAATTAATTTTTCAGGAAATATTGTGAGAGAGAGAGAGAGAGAGAGAGATTGGCCAAGTCATCCATGAAGAGAAATTTTCTCCTTTGTATTTGGTGGTATTAGTTATGGTTGTTTGTTAATTGTATCTCTCATTCCTAATTCATTTTGCACATTCAATATTTATTTTTGAATGTTAGATTTGATGAGACGAAAAAAGAAAGAAAAAATATATCTGTCACGTTTCAAACTAAAAATACATATATGATATACATTTTTTGGGTATGGGATATGTATAGTATAGTAGATTTTCTAAAATGCTGGCTGTGACAACTTCAATCTCGACAATTGAATATGAATAGTCTATTATAAGTTGGAGAAAGAAAGGCACTATGGTGAAATTGATAGACACGTTACTCTTAGGAAGCAGTGTTAGAGAATCTCGGTTCGAGTCCGTGTAGCAGCATGCCGTTTTCTAAAATGATAGAATAGATCCTATAATGAATTCAATTCCTGATTTCCATTCCGTCATTAAAGGATTTCTTATTTTTTTTAATGATATTTTTAACCGTAGAACATATATTAACTAATATTTCCTTTTCTATCATTTCAATTGTAATTACAATTTACAACTGGCTTTCCTTCGGTTAGATCTTGGATGGAAAGCTGTTATTTGGACTCGTGAGACTCATAACGAGTCCCGTTTCAAATATTCAAATTGTTCATTTTGTAGAGTATTTCGTATATATTATCTATACGAAAAATTAAGTTGATTCAATAACCTTAACTTATTTAATTTATTGCATTTGTGTCTTAAAAAAAAAGATACATGACAAGTGTGTTTTTAAAAATAAATCATACATTTTTATTAATAAATATGATAAATTGAGTACCATATCAAATTGACTCAAGAGGCAAACTATGGGATCACGAGTTCGGGGTTCCTGCTGTGCCTTAAGGCACAATAGGCTGCTGTGAGGCCCAATGGAGAGCGTGTCCCGAGTCTTTTTCGATGATCTGAACCGTTCATATTGTAAGGTTCGTCGAATAGATCATTCATGCAAAAAATCAAGTAAAATTAGACATTTGTAGCCTCATAATAAGAGCACATTTGTTTTTCAAAAAATAAACAGTTAACATGATTTTAATAATCTTTTTTAAAACAATTAGACTTGATCACAGGGTTACAGATGTCCGATTAATTTGATTTTTTATATGAATAATATACTCGCCAAGCCTTACAATATGAACGGTTCAAATCATCAAAATAAAGTCAAAAAATGTCTCTACGAGACCTCACAACAGGGCTGCTGTGCCATAAGGCATAGCGACAACCCTCAGTCCATGGGATCACTAGTATAATTTGGCGTTCTTTACGATTTTCTAATATATAACAAATGGCTGGTGGACCTAGGGGTGGGCATCAGCCTGTTGGCTCACCTAGTCTGTCCGGTCTAGTCCTATTTTTTTAAGGCTTAGTAATGTTGTTTTAATCCACAGGGATCGGGTTAGGCCAACATTTTCAGTTTGAAATATTAATGGATTGGGCTTGGGTTTATCATTGCAACCCAACCCAGCTTGGCCCGCTATTAAACTAATTAATTAATTATAACGTATTAAAAAATATATTTTTGGTTGGAATTTAGGCTTTATCTTTGTTGATTTTATTAAAACTTACATTTGTGGTGATATGTGATTGAATTTATTTAAGAAATCTTTCAACTTATACACACAATCTTTCAATAATAATGTCAATATATTTATTTAAGAAATATAATGTATGATTAAATTTAATTATGATTTTTTTTTAAAAAAAAACATATAGCTTGATTAGTGGGTTTGGGATTTATAATTGTTTTTTAGACTGGGCTTAGGTAGATGTAGATGCCCGATGTTATCGAGCTTGGGTAGATATAAAATCCCTTATTATCTAATCCTGGCCCGACTCAAACTTGGGCCGACCCGACGTATGTCACTCCTAGGTGGATATCTCTTATTCTTTGTGGGTGTTTGCAGACAAGTCAAAAAGTCACTAAGATATGTGTCACTATTTAGAAAAGTCAAATGTCATATCAATTTTTTTACTCACAAATTTTTTTTTAGCAACTTTTCAAATGTATTTATCTCCTAAGAACATCTACAATGGCAAATGCTATAATAGCATTGCCATTGCTATAATTGGATAACGAATAGTAGAAAATGAAAGAATTATAGCAATTGATTTTGCCAAAATGATGGTTTTGCAAAAAATTACCTATTTTGCTGGGAGAGAGGGAAATGGTTGGTTTTGGCTGAGTTGATGAATATGACAGCTGCTAAAACTTGTGTAAAATTTGGTATAAGTTTTGGCATTTGCCAAATTTGGCAACTACCATATTCACTATTGGAGTACCACTATTGTTATATTATAGCAATGGTGGCTCCATAGGCAAACCATTGGAGACGCTCTAAGGTTGAGTTTGGAAAGCTGCTAAATAAGGAATTTAGTTTTCTACAAATTTTTTCATAAAAAGTCAAATAAACAAACCCCAAACAGCCACTCAAAAATAAAAAAGATCATAACAAAGCAAACTCCAAACACACACTTAGAACCGATCCGGACCGTATGTAACTTAAACCATATACATACCATACAATCTTGATGCATACTACGAAGCTGTTTCTATAAAGCAGTGCGGTTTTTATTCTTGTTGCTTTTTTATTTTTATTTTTGTTTTGTAATTATTGTTGTTGTCACACCCCAAATCCAGGCATAACCGGCTGTGGCCCATAAGGACTTAGCCCAAGGCACACGTAAGCCTAAACACAAACCCAATATCACAAAGAATAAATGTAACGATAGTCCAGAAATAAATAAATCAAAACCCAATCCAGTTACAAGTCACAAGTATTAACGGCAAAACCAACCCTAATCAATACTATCTAAACCAATGGGATATAAACAGCCCACATAACATAATAATCTTAAATGAACCTTAATAAAAAAATAAAATAAAAAATGCACGAACTTAACATAAAAATCTGAAAAATAAACATTAAAAAAATATGAATGTCCTAAAGGTCCATGTAATTGAGTCCCCGTTATGCCATGAGTCCACTTTAAGTCCTTCTATCACCTGGAAATGATTAACAACTAAGTCAGCTGATGCTCAGTGAGTAGAAGCATGGATAGTAAATATAGTTTTGACAAACAAGGTTCAATATTCCAAAATAAGATATATATCATAGAAACTAGATTGACATATAGTTTTGATAAAGACAATCTATTTCAAAAAAGAAGTGTGGGGACATATTTTTTGGGTAGTCCATGTGGACTAGGTTGTTAGCGGAGGTGCCACATGGACGGACCACGGTGCCAAGATATGGTGCGGTAATACCGGAATTCGAGATTTTCGGATAGAGGACAAAAGTCCTATATGACATCAAGCTACCTATTTAGATAA